TGTATCCCTATGTCCTGGTGTCCCGGTGTCCTTGTGTTCTTGTCCTTGTCCTAGTCCCCTTGTCCTAGTCCATGTTCTCGTGTCCTTGTCCTTGTCCTTGTATCCCTGTGTCCCCGCGTCCTTGTTCTTGTTACTATTCCTCTTCTTGCTCTCCTCAGGGCTGCAGTCGCCAGCTGGTCACGGTGGACCTGAACCTGACCAGTGCCGAGTTTATCCAGTTTTACTTCATGTACGGCTGCATGATCCCGCCTAGCAGCCGGAACCAGGGAGTGCTGCTGGACTTCAGCGTGAACGGGGGGATCAGCTGGATTCTGCTCACTGAGATCTTCTATGATCAGTACAGCAAGCCGGGGTAAGACGCTGGAAACTGCCCCACCACGAGCGCACTGTGAGACTGCACGCTGCCGTTTTCCAGGAGGTTTTGTTGCAGTTGTGCACCACGCTTTCCCAGTGTCTAAAATATAAAACACAGAATAGATTGCCACGCTCCAGCAGCCAGGGTTTTGAAAATCTGGCCTGATGCCGTAACTGTAGCAGACTTGTCTCGGTCCGCGGGAAGATGGCAAGCTCTTTTGGAATGAAAGGCGTGTGCTTGTAATAGATGTTCCTGCGCTCTTGTTTGCAGGTTTGTGAATGTGCTGCTGCCCCCTGCTGCCCGGGCAGAGGGGGTCCGGGTGCGATGGTGGCAGCCACAGCACGAGGGGGCAGAGCAGAGCGACTGGGCGCTGGACAATGTGCTGATTGGCGGCTCGGACCCCCACTCCTCCATCCTGGATACCTTCGGGGGTTCGCTGCTGCCCAATCACGAGAGAGCCCCCGCTGACGGCGTGCCCACTGGCCGCATCGCCCTGGAGCCACACCCAGAGGACATTGGCACAGGTAGGAAGAGCTGCTCTGTGGCGGCACTGTGATCTGCCGTGGACTGTGCTGTCGATGCTGATGTCTTAACGACGTGGAAGACGTCCAGTACAGTCTTGCTGGTGACGTCCGATTGGGCCGCTGCATCCGCATGCGCTGCTAGAGAGCTAGTAGAGATATAACTTGTTTCCACACTGCAGTGCAGAAAGAACCAAGCGACACATTTTGGCTGCCGATCCTCCTTCAGTGAGGGAGAACTGTGTTCGTCTTTCTGCTCTGCAGCGTGGTAAGCTCTGCGGACTAATGACTGCTGTGTGAATCAGAGCTGGAAGGAAGGAAGTAGAGGAGCACAGGCCATTCAAGGAGAGAACATGAGAAAGGTCGCAGGCGAAGAGGAGGCCATCTGGGTCCCGCCAGAAGAAAGACCAAGGAGAGGAGAGCAGGAGGGAGGAGAGAGCAAGAGGAGGGAGAGAGCAGGAGGGAGGGAGGAGAGAGCA